TGGAGCCCGCCGAAGCTGACATCAATGAGCTCTGCCGAGACATGTTCTCCAAAATGGCCACATACTTGACTGGGGAACTGACAGGTGAGACGCCGTCCTGCCTGACCCGGTTGTGAAGTTGCATTTGGCGTGGCAGAAACCTGAGAGGCGCTTTAGCAGCCTCTGTCAGTGGTTGAAAGGGAGGAAGAGAGCCCCCTCCCCGCTTTCCCCAGGGAAGCTCAGGTCCCACTTTGGAAACACAAGTCGCAAGCCTCTTCTAATGTAGTAACGACAGCTAACAACAAAAATCCTGCACTATTAGTTAAGAAGTGCCTCCCCAAGGGAGGTGTATTTTAAGCATGATTGTGAAGGAAATGGAAAAGGGGGGGGCAATACAGTTAGTAAAAGAGCTGGAATCAGCAAGCAATTTGATTAGACCTGAAAGTTCGTCTGAAGACTTGAGCATAGTTAGGTTCAATTCAGTGTGCCTGCATCCTGGGTCTGGGCGTGAGGTAGAGTCAGAAAGTAGAGCCTGGGCCATGTGCACCGTCATAGGAGCTTACACAGTTTCACTTCTCCAGAATGTTTTTAAAAGTTACACTTACTTTGTGTTTGTGTGTGTACACATACTCAGCGGTCATAGGACTGCTTGTGAGGTCAGGAGTACCACACTCAGATCTGCAGGCTTGGTAGCAAGTGCCATTACCAGCTGAGCCATTCACAGCCACCACCTACCCCCCCCCCCAGAATTGCCTGGGATCTCAGTTTGTGAACCAGAATCTACGAGGAAAGGCTTAATAGAGAAGTGGCGGGGTGGGGGGTGGCGGGGTGGGTGGAAGTCACTGATTTATCAGCCTGATTATTCATTTATTTTTGAACAAGAGAAACCGAGTAACAAAATTTAGATTTGTGGGTTCTCTCTGCAAATTCTAAAGACTTGCCATTTTTTCGGGCTTTAAAAAAGACTATGATTTGATTTGTTTTCACGACTGGCCTGTTCTTCTCCTTTAGTGACTGAGTGTCCTTTGTCATTTAGCTCTGTTCTTTTACTGCTGGCTTTCATTCATTGCAGTTTAGAAACGGTTTTCCTTATCAGCCCCTTCCGATTAGCAAACAGGGTGCTGGGCAGAGAGGGAACACACTCCGCTGTGGAAGTGAATGCCTTCCTTGTGTGCATTATATAAACCGTTGCATTGCTTCATTCACATTCTGTTGCTGGCTTCCAAGTGTGTGGCCCTCGTTTTAGAGAGATTATTATTTGGTAGCGGTGAAAGACCAAATGTGGAGGAGAACAGGAACAGAGCAGCTGTTCAGAAAGTAATGGGAGTCTGAGGCAAAGTGAAGAGATAAGAAGATTGAGAGTAGGGTGTGAACACAGGAAGGAAGTAGACTTCCCAGGATTTGTTGAGGTGGGTAACGAGCATTCTCAGATACTTGTGAGGTTTTAAGGGTGGGTAGGACTGCCAACCAAAATAAGGAAGCTGAAAAGAGGAACCATGTTTATGTGGGAAACTTTCAGTTTTGGCTTGGCTGTTTATAACTGTTACTGAAACCCTTGGGTAGGTTTTCTGAAGACACTCAGATGCTTCGTATATAAGAGTCCAGAGCTCAGGGACTGATCATTGCAGGGGAGGCATCAGGTGATGGGAGTGGAGGCGTCGTGTGGGGGTAAAGGCTATGTCGAACAGGATTGCCAAGGAAGAGCTTTCAGGTGGACCTCTTAGGGCCTAGACTGACATGTCAGGAGATGGAGCAATTCATTATGAGCCCAGGGCTTTGCATATACAAAGCTATTGCTTTATCCAGTGAGCTACATTTGCAGCCTTAAATAATTTTTGTAGATAATTACTTAAAGCTCCAAAGTTTCTAAGTGATTAAAAAACTAAGTTAAGCCAGTGTTATTTCTCCACTCTGCTCATTCTTACTTGTACAAATACTTTTGGAAAAGAAAATTTACTAGTGTGTGTGTGTGTGTGTGTGTGTGTGTCTGTGTATGTGTCTGTGTCTGTACGCACATGCATGTATACATAGCCATGTGCCATAGTTCATGTGTGGAGGTTGGAGAACAGCTTTGGGAGTCAGTTCTCTCCTTTCACCATCTGGGTTCAGGGACTGATTGTTTCACAAGCATGAGAACCTGAATTCTGGGGAGTTAGAAGTAGGAGGACTCCTAGAACTCCCTGGCAAGTCTAGCTAAATTGGTGAGCTCCAGTTTCAGTGAAATCTTATATGAAGGAAATAAGATGGATAGTAATTGAGAAAGACCCATTGCCCTCTAGCCTGAACATACCGGTGTACACACGTGTACACACACACACACACACACACACACACACACAAGTTGGTACCAAATATACACATACACATATGTACATAGAAGGTTTATATCTCTAGTTGATACTATATAATATGATGAAATCCTCTAAATTGTGTGTGTGTGTGTGTGTGTGTGTGTGTGTGTGTGTGTGTGTGATATTTTAATATATGTATTCAAGACAGTGTTTTCCTGTGTAGCACTGGCTGTCCTGGAACTCACTCAGAGATTTGTCTCCCTCTGCCTCCCAAGCACTGGAATTAAAGGTGTGCGCCACCACTACACAGTTTATATTTTTTTATGCTACAGAAGTACCAAGATTATCTCCCCTTTCCTCTTTGACATGAGTTTACCATTTTCTTTTCGAACTATAACACAAACTCTTCTAGACCTTTCTTAGTTTTTATTGATTGCTGCCTTAGTTTCTACTTAGACATTCAGGTTATAAGCTAAGTATAAATGTTACAGATGAAAGTAACCTGGGGCCTTGAACTTCTGTATTCCCTTCCTGAACTCCTTTCACTTAAAACTCTGTATTCCAGTAACTTCAGATAAAACCTAAAGGCATCCCATTCTCTGTTATTTTAAAGCCACCAGTGAAGACTATAAACTCCTGGAAAATATGAATAAGCTAACAAGCTTGAAGTATCTTGAGATGAAAGATATTGCTATAAACATCAGCAGAAACCTAAAGGACTTAAACCAAAAATGTGAGTACTAATACCATCACTTGAATAAGTACTGCCCGTGGTTAATGTTTCCAGTGTTTGGGGCACATGGTATCCCTGCCCCCTGGGAGCTCAAGTTCCAGAATGCATTACCAACTAAGGAGTATTTTTTCCATTATGAAGATGAGTGTGCTTTGGTGGGATGGCTCTTTCTGTTTCTAAACCTGGCTTTTAGTTAGTACATTCCTAGAAGGAAAGTGGGCAAATGAGAGTCTAGAGAATTGATTTAACAGTGAAGTCCCTGAAGGACTGCTTTATAAGCAGAAAATCTATAAATTGAAAATGTTAATTTAGAGTGGTCTGACTTACTTTTCCAATGAAAAATGCCCTTTGTCACAAGGACATCCTTGGTATGGGCATGCCCAAGATGCTGACTCAGTAGCAGAAACATTGCTTAAGGAAAAAGAACTTTCCAGGGAAGGAAATCTGAAAAGGAGAACGACTTAACTCGGGCTGGGTCAATGATGTGCCCAGTAAGTCAACTGCGCCTTCCCTACAGCATCTGCTCTGCTGGTGACACTCTTGTCACCCATTTTGGTCTATGTTGGGCACAGCAGAAGAAATGCCAGCTTTCTTACTTCCTACTCTTTCTCTATACTTGCTGATGATATACGGACATTTGGTTTGTTTTTCAAGATGCTGGACTACAGCCGTATCTGGACCAGATCAATGTGATTGAGGAACAGGTGGCAGCTCTCGAGCAGGCAGCCTACAAGTTGGATGCTTATTCAAAAAAACTGGGTAATTATTTTTACTTCTATTTTGATTATTTAGGGTTTATTTTATAAGTGTTTGGCCTGCATGTGTGTCTATGCATCACGTGTATGCAGTACCTGTGGTGGTCAGAAGAGGGCATCTGATCCCCTGGAACTGGAGCTACAGATAGTCCTGAGCTGCCATGTCGGTGCTTGGAACCGAATCTGTGTCCTCTGCAAGAGCAACTAGGGCTTTTAAGTACTGAGCCACCTCTTTAACCACTTAGATTTTATTTGATAAAGAGTACTTAGCTAGATGTGGTGGCGCACATGTGTGAGCCCAGCACTCAGGAAACTGAGGCAGGAGGGTTGCAAATTCATATTCAGGTCAGGTTATATAGTAAACATATCTCAAAAACAAACAAGCAAATTAAACTTGAGGAATTAATTATTTACTAAATAACAGTTTCTGTAGTTACTGATTTATCAAGTACTATTCTGATTGATTTGCATATATTGTATTCTTTATTCTCCCAATTATCTGGGAAGTGATTTTTTTGTTGTTTGTTTTTTGAGACAGGGTCTCCTTATGTAGCCCCAACTGTCCTGGCACTTACTCTGTAGACCAGGCTGTCCTCACACTCACAGAGACCCACCTGCCTCTGCCTCCTGAGCACTGGGATTAAAGGTGGTCATCACTAGACCCATAATTCTTTAAATTATTTTTTTTAAAAATTCCTATCCTCTAGGGAAGGTAAATGGTTTAAGAGGCAAGGAAACTTACTTAACGGTACATAGACGGTAAAGCACATGGAAGAGACATAAATCAAGGGTCTGATTATGTTGCCAAGCTCTTTTTTAAAAATTTATTTTATATGGTATGGTATTTGGCCTGTATGTATGTCTGTGTGAGGGTGTCAGATCCATTGGAACTTGAGTTACAAACAGTTGTGAGCTGCCATGTGGGTGCTGGGAATTGAACCCAGGTATTCTGGAAGAGCAGTCAGTGCTCTTAACCACTGAGCCATCTCTCCAGCTCCTATATATGGCAAGCTCTTGACTATAATTCAACATGCTGAGTTATCCTTAGAAATGTAGATGCACATGCCTTTTAAAAATGGAATCACTGGTTATGTGTTTTACTGGAAAATTGCTTTTTCTCCCAGGAGAAAGCTAGTGCTTTTAAGTTTTGCTTGCTGGCCCTGGCTGTTACTTACTTGGTAAAGAGTAATGAACATGATTTTACCCTAAGTTCTTTATTTCTACCATCACTACTTGCTGGCTACGTCAAGAGAGTGGGTTGTCAGTGGCTGTTTAACAGGAGTACAGAGTAGCCGTCAGTTTCACTATGCACAGTTACATATACTAACTGTTTACTGTGAACCTCACCACATAGAAGGTGTCATACCAAATGCTATTGAGATTTTAAAAGCCAGGAAAAGAGTTGGATGTGCTGGCATATGCCATTAATCCCTTGGGAGGTGAAGGCAAGAAGATCAGGAATTTAGGATGAGCTACTTCACCTTAGGCTGTCTGAAAATTTGTTCAAAAAAAGTTCACAGTAAGAGGCTTATTTGAGCCGGTCACTCTCGAGGGAGGTAGAGGCAGGCGGATCTCTGTGAGTGTAGACCAAGCCAGCCTGGTCTACAGAGCGAGTTCCAGGACAGGCTCCAAAGCAAAACAGAGAAACCCTGTCTCGAAAAACCAAAGTGGGGGGAGGGGGGAGGAAAGAGTCTTATTTGATGACATTTTAAGTCTCTGTGTCTTTAAGCTTTTGCATTTTTCCAAATTGCTTTCCTAAAGTGAGATGTAAGAAGAGCATAGAAGAACTGGGGATGCAGCTCAGTTAGTACAGTGCTTGCTTGCCGTGTATGAAGTCCTGGGTTTAAGAGCACCACCTTGTAACCTCTAGAACACTAGGGATGCCAAGTGCTGACCCACATGGACAAACAGGGCACGGATGTGCGTGCCTGTAACTGCAACACTCAGAATATGGAGGCAGGAAAATCACAAGTCCAAGGTCAGCCTTGGCTGTATATGGAGTCTGAGGCCAGATTGAGATTTGGTTCTTGTCCTTTTATTTGGTTTTGTTTTTTCAAGACAGGGTTTCTCTATGTAGCCTTGGCTGTCCTCCAGGACTCACTCTATAGATTAGATTGACCTCAAACCTGGAGGTCCACTTGTCTCTGCCTCCCAAGTGCTGGGATTAAAGGTGTGTACCACCACCACCCAGCTCAGCTTGAGACTTGTGAGACCTGTCTAGGCTAGGTAGATGTGGGGTTGGGGGTAAAAAGAGTGGAGAAATGGACATAAAAACAAAAACATATATTTATACTAACTGTGTTCCAGTCAGGTTCCAGAGGGTACCTGGAGTTTCAAAAATTCAGTAAGGTTGCCGGGTGTTGGTGGCACACACCTTTAATCCCAGCACTTGGGAGGCAGAGGCAGGTGGATCTCTGTGAGTTTGAGACCAGCCTGGTGTACAAGAGCTAGTTCCAGGACAGCCTTCAAAGTCACAAAGAAACCCTGTCTCAAAACAAACAAACAAACAAACAAACAAAAATTCAGTAAGTCTCCCAATAGGGCAAGTGCCAATAGATCTTGCTTCTTTGTGTCTGAGCTATCCAAGCGGTGCTATTGACAGAGTTAGGACCTAGTGACTGTGGTCTGGGCTCTGAGTCAGGGTGTATACATTTGAATCTTCCAAGTTGTGCAAGTCTAGGATCTGTGCATTTGGGTAGATGATGAGATTGAAGCCAGTGCCTTCTTAAGAGTATAGTAGGTAGATCTGAACTTGCTTAAAAATCTAACTAAAAAGTATCTTTGTGAGAGCTGGTGTTGAAAGATACAATCCTCTTCTTCCCCACACAGAAGCCAAGTACAAAAAGTTGGAGAAGCGATGAAAACATGTTTGTATGGATCAGGTGGTTTTTTTTTTTTTAAATATGGAAGAATGTTTTATAACCACTAATTCCTGAGGCTGATGAATCATCACAGCTCCTCAAAAGAAATCTGTGGGGATTAACTAACGTTAATCCCAAAGCCGTGTGATGCTGGATGAACTAGAGGGCTGTGGCCGCTCCCAAGTCTCCTCCAAGGCAGCACCTCACAAACTCAGACTCGGAACTCCTGCTTGTCCTTTGCTTGAATGCTTCATCATCCATTCGAGAGGGAGACTGGAGCCTTCAGGGCACACCTGGGCTTGCCAGCAGCGTCCAGCCAGAGTGCTGTCCCTGGGAGTGCTCAGGTAGCACATGGTTTTCTAGATGGCCAGGGTTTTTGTTGTTGTTTTGTTTTCTATCGATGATGCTAATGTATTGTTAACAGGATGCTAAATTAAAAAGGAAAACAAAACAAATGTGTATACTCTGTGTGTCAGTAGTTTGCTTTTTCCATTACACTGCCAATAACAGAAACTCCTAAACTAACTCCAAGACTAGTCCTAAAGACTGAGCAGAAGGAGTTGAAGGAGTGTTTCCATTGCTTAGTAGATGAGAGCTTTCCTTCACCCCACTTCCACCCCAGTGAGGGATCTCACTTTGAATGTGCCTACCCAAGTGCTCAGCCACTGAGCTATTTCCCCAGCCCCTTTCATTGTAAGGTTGGGTCTCTTCTAAGGCAGTGGTTCTCAATCTGGGGTCTTTGACGGCCTCGGGGGTCAAATATCAGATATCCTGCATATCAGATATTTATATCGAAATTCACAATGGTAGCAAAATGACAGTTACGAAATAGCAATGAAATAATTGCATGGTTGGGGTCAGCACAATGTGAGGAACTGTAGTGAAGGGTCTCAGCATTATGAAGGCTGAGAACCCCTGCTGTGAGGTATCCAATAGGCTTTACATTTTTGACCCTCCTGTTTCAGTCTCCCCAGAAGCTGAGCTTATTGGCCTTTACCACAAGGCTCAGTTTTTACTTGGTTCAGATTGTGTGGGGGTAAGATGACACTCTTGACATCTGTTCCAATTTGGAAATGTGATAGACAAGATGTATATGTGTGCCTGTGGTGGTTTGAATAGATATGCCTCCCATAGACTCATGTGTGTGAATGCTTGGCCCGCAGGGAGTGGCGCTAGGAGGTGTGGCCTTGTTTGTGTGGCTGTGGCCTTATCCAAGTGTGTCACTATGAGGGTGGCCTTTGAGGTCTTATATTCTCAAGCTATACTCAGTATGGGACTTGGTCTCCATCTGCTGCCTGTGGATCAAGATGTAGAACTCTTGGCTCCTTCTCCAGCACCATGTCTGCCAACATGCTACCATGTTTTCTGCTGTGATAATAATGGGCTAAACCTCTGAAGCCAGCCCCAACTAAATGTTCTCCTTTATAACAATTGCCATTGTCATGTGTGTCTTCACAGCAATAGAAACCTTAACTAAGACAATGTCTGTGTGCTAGGTGGGCGGGTGGGGAGTAGCATTCATATAATAAAGTGTTCTGTGACATATTTCCTACTAGGATCTGTGTGGGGAGGGGATTGTGGGAAACTCAATTGCCTAAAGATATCAGACGATAGGGACTAATAAAGAACCCGTTCGATTGGGAAGAGATGTAACCTTATCTACGGGAGCATGCTATTAGCTAACAAGGTGCCTGATGTTCTCGACGTCATTCCCGAGTGCGGTTGGAATAAGCATGGCCCCTATAGTCTCATATATTTGAATGTTTACCCACTAGGGAGTGGCCTATTAGAAAGGATTAGAAGGGCTATGGGGCATGGCCTTGGAGGAAGTGTGTCATTGGAGGTGGGCTTTGAGGTTTCAAAAGCCCATTGCAAGCCCAGTGTCTCTCTCTGCCTGAGGATCAGGATACCGTTTTCAACTACTTCTCCAGCACTGTGTCTGCCGTGCCTGCTGCCATGCTTCCTGCCATGATGATAATGGGCTGAACCCCTGAAACTGTGAGCGAGCCCCAACTAAATGCTTTCTTTTATAAGAGTTGCCTTGGTCATGGTGTCTCTTCACAGCAACAGAACATTGAATACCACACTCAGAGATTGTTTCTCTTTGCACCTCTCCTGACTGCTACAGACCATTATCGTGTCTCCTTCTTCCTTTTATTTAAGAAAAGATTTTTGTGTATGTATGTTTTGTCTGCATGTATGTATGTATGTGCATCACATGTATACCTGGTGTCTATGGAGATCAGAGGAGGATGTTGAATCCCCTGGAACTGGAGTTACCTATGGTTATTAGCTACCATGTGAGTGCTGGGAATGGAACCCAGATCTGCAAAATCAAAAGTGCTCTTAACCATGGAGTCATCTCTCCAGCCCCTGAAACTAGAATTCATATATATACAAGGGCCCTGCTTTAAAAAAAAAAAAAAAAACTCTTATTATTCCTACACTTAGAATGTGTTAAGCTATCTTCAGCTACCTTTCATTCCTATGGATGAACGTTCACTTTTAGAATAGATTTGGACCTACCGAAACAACAATTGCAACACTAATACAGAATTTCACAGACAAGTTTTCATATTTCACTATTGTTTTATCATCTCTGAAATCATTAGCTGTTCATAGTATCCCGTCTTCAAGATTCAGGCTTGAAAGTCACTCCTGGATAGTGCTGTATTATCCAAAAGGTAAGTAAGACAAAGGTTTAAGTTGCCAAAGAGAAGGGGAGAAAAGGAGGGGTGAGGAAGACATGAGCGAGCAGAAAGGTTGAGTCGGGGAAGAATAGAAGATAACAAGAATGGAGATACCATAATAGAGGGAGACATTTTTAGGTTTACAGAGAAATCAGGCACTAGGGAAATGTCTGGAGATCTGCAAAGATGACACCAGCTAACAATCTAAGCAACAGAGGAGAGGCTGCTTTAAATGCCCTCCCCTGATAATGAGATTGATGACTGACTTATATGCCACCTGATAGCCCTCATCCAGCAGCTGGTGGAAGTAGAAGCCGACGCCCACAGCTAATCACTGAACTGAACTGGAACCCAGTTGCAGAGAAGGACGAGTGGTGAGCAAAGGGGTCCAGACCAGGCTGGTGAAACCTACAGAAACAGCTGACCTGAACATCAGGGAGCTCTTAGTTCCCAGACTGATAGCTGGGAAACCAGCATAGGACAGATCCAGACCCCAGGAACATGGGTTTCAGTGAGGAAACCTCGGAAATCTACTGACCTCCTGTAGTAGTTCAGTACTTATCCCTACCATAGGTGTGGACTTTGGGAGCCCATTCCATACAGAGGGATACTCCCTGAGACAAGACACACGGGGGTGGGCCTAGGCCCTATCCCAAAGGATAAGATAGACTCTGATGACACCCTATGGAAGGCCTCACCATCCGGGGAGCAGAAAGGATATGTGATAGGGAGGGTTTTAGTTGTGGAAGGTGGTAGGGGAAGAGGGGAAGGAGAAGGGAACATGGGATTGACATGTAAAACAATCTTGTTTCTAATTCAAATAAAAAAAAAAAAGAAAAAGTTACCAATAAAACAGAGGTATTAGTACGTGTGAGGCAAATCATTTGATATCTCCCCCACCCTCAAAAAGCATTGCAGAAATTGTGGGGGGAAAAGAACCAGATTTGAGGTTTGTTTGGTTTTTTAATTTTTCTGTGTAGTTCTTCTGGGTTCTTCTGTGTAGCTTTGTAGACCAGGCTGGCTCGAACTCAGATCCGCCTGCCTCTGCCTCCCGGGTGCGCGGACTAAAGGCATGCGCCACCACCACCGGGCTCCAAATGTTCTTAAACAAAAGGAAAACAACACAAAAATTACTATTTTTCTTTTCTCCACTTCTTTCACTTTTTCCAGAGTTTCCCTTTTTTTTTTTTTTTCGAGACAGGGTTTCTCTGTGGCTTTGGAGCCTATCCTGGCACTCGCTCTGGAGACCAGGCTGGCCTCGAAATAAACAGAGACCCGCCTGCCTCTGGCTCCCGAGTGCTGGGATTAAAGGCGAGCGCCACCAATGCCCTGCCAGAGTTTCCCTTTTAAAGTGAAAACGCGTAGAGATTTTGACTCTCTGTTCGCCCCGTAGATAGGTGAGTTGTCATTGGCTGCTCTTCGTGACGTCACATTTCCGCGCCCGGCGTTCTAACCTTAAGCTCGTGTTGGTGCTTCCAGGTTTGGGTGGCTGGCCCAGCACAGGCTGTAATCCCCGATGGCTCAGCAGCCGCTGCGACTGTGAGTTACCTGCCATCGGAAGACTCAGGAACCCGGTGGGGGAAGGAAGAAGGGAGGGAGGCGGGAGTAGAAACTGGGGTCGTTTTCCAGACCGGAAGGGGAAGACGGAGGGGAGGTCGCGGGGCTGCTGGGAGCTGGAGGCTTCCTGCTCTCCTGGTGTTTTTCCACCCAGTGTCTTCGGAGTCTCTCCAAGAGATAAAAACTTGCGGAGCCAGAATTTTTTTTAGGCCCACCCTGCTTCCTACACACCATCTCCATTTCATTTCTCCCCTCGAGGCATTTGTTGGTTAGCCCAATATTTGCAGACATAGGGTGCATTGATGGGCATCGGCAGTCACGGCCCCGGCGAACTTTTGTGGCGTGGCCGGTTAGCGAAGACGACACATTATTCAGAAAGACTACTGAGTATCGGCAGTGTGTCTTGCATGGGGCCAAGCGTTGCACAGATATCTTGATAGCTGATAGTTTCGACCAGAAGAACAGGTGTCAACGAATGCAGAAACGTAGAGAAAAGGTTGGCGGTTCTGGAGGATATATAACGGTATTTAGCTTAGTGGAAGGAGTTAAGGCTGTCCTGAGAAAGTGAAGATTTAACTCTGGTAAATATTGTCTTCAACCCCGAGAAGTCATTGAAATGTTTAAAAGCTCCTTAGCGTGACCCAATTTTCTTTGTGGAAAGTGATCCAGTGGAAAGGTGGTAAACAAATCAGCCAAAGTAGAAGGAAGGTAGGATTAGTTAGAGTGAGAGCAGAGGGAAATAGAGGAACTGATGACTTGTTAATCAGTAGGGTGATGTTGGTTGTGAAGAACTCCCACTGTAAGGTCACAGAGTTCAGTCTTAAGTCATTGGGATCAGAAAACACTGTAAAAGGACCCACACCAGATAATGAATATTGAATGTGCCTCCCAGGAATTGATCATCAATGGGGGCTGAAAACATTTCTAGAGGTGCTTAGAGAATAAATCAGAAGCCCGGCTTAATGGTTATGAAAGTTGGTTCTGATATGGTACAACATGGGCTTTGGAAATTTTGAGAAAGAGTGGCTTTCTCAGCTCACCAGGAAGGCTTCAGAGATTTACTAGGCCTTGATGGATGGGAAAAACTTTGAGGATGAGTACAGTGGGCCTATTAGGAGAGAGAAGTAATAGCAGAGACAGAGAGTGATCAGTTGACAGTTTGGGGAGAGCTCAGTTAGAAAAACTAAGAGGAAGTACTAAAAGAACAGGCCAGAACCTGAGGGAAACTTTCTACAGGAAATGGGCACCCTGTAATGATTCTGAGGAAGGAACATTAAACTGATGACTGAATGTTGATATGTTGAATGGGTAGAAAGAAGAGAAGGCATCCCAGCACTCAGGAGGCAGAGGCAGGCGGATTTCTGTGAGTTCAAGGACAGCCTGGTCTATAGATGGACTGCCGGGATAGGTTCCAAAGCTACACAGAGAAACCCTGTCTCGGGTAAAGAAAGAAAGAAAATGTTCAGTGGTAGAAACAATAAAAGAACCCAGAGAGACATACTGACAAAATGATAGAAACTATAGTGTTTTGAGTTAAAAGACATTAAGAAAATAAGTAAGGGCTGGTGAGATGGCCCAGTGTAGAGGCACTTCCTGCCAAACTTGATGACCTGAGTCTGAGTACAATCCCTGATGACACACATGGTGGCAGGAGAGAACTAACTCTCTCTGGTTGTCCTCTGTCCTTGACGTGAGCCCTGTGGCACATATATGCCCTCCCCTATATAATACCCCCCCAACCTTAAATCAAACAAAAAACAATGTAAACCAGAATTTGAAAGTCAGAAATTAGCTGTCGGGACAAGTCACTTCACAGCTTGTGGTAGTCCACCTAATCAACCTCAGCTCTTGTCATTTTCTCCTTCCAGCTCTGTAACACTATGCTCACCTCCCATCATAGTGTCTTCCATATACATTTATGATCAGAGAGTCCCTTATTGTAAACTCTGAGACTTTAAAGGAACCTACCTCCTGTTATAATTCTACTGTGTCCTTAGGGTAGTATTTGGCACATTGAACTTTGCACAGTATAGTTGTTCAGTTTGTGTTTACTGAATGATGACTGGAGCTGTGTAGTAGGTACAGCAGTGGAAGCAGGAGAATAGAATGGTTATAACAAATGTTTGGAGAAAAGATTTACTTGGATTCTGGTTAAATAAAGGACTTGTTGACTCCCAGTGGCTATGTTGGTGATAAACCTATCCATAAATCTTGGGAATGAGAAGGAGGTGGCTCAATTTTGAAGACAGGAAGAACTAAATTTTAGAAATGGTGAATTGGAGGTGTTGGTGAGATCTCCAGGAAAATCCATCTGGTGGCTAGTAATTGTTAAAATGCAGCAAGGGTAGAAGATACTTCGAGCCTGAGTCATATCTCTAGTCCAGAAGACTAGATGTGTGGATACCAAGCCTAACAGATCCATTTGTGTCTCCTGAATTGCTGTGTTTATCTCTTGTTTGCAGCTTGGCTTGTGGAGACGTGGACGGAAAGTTTGATGTTTTATTCAACAGAGTTCGAACAATACAGAAGAAAAGTGGGAACTTTGATGTAAGATGACCATTTTAACTGATGCTTTACTACTGTAGTCAAACATTAAAGTGTGGGATCCTTTGTTAGTTTATGATTGACTCCATTTTGTTGTTTTGAATTTTTTTTACATATGAACGTAGTAGCTATGGACTGATAGGAGAAGGGAGAGCTATTTACTGTCCAGTTGTTGATACTGTGTGAATTTCAATCTTGTTACTTTCTTACTGTGCCCAAAACTAAACCAAACCAACTGAACAGAGCTAGGCAGTTGTGACACCTAGGTTTGGTAAGCACAGATCTACTTCATGAGTGTGTGCTGGGAATTAAATCGGGTAACAGATGTGCAAGTGCTTCACAAAAGAAAGAACTGGAAATGAGTGTTATATGTGGTTGCCAAGTAGATAAAGTTCATAGAATACAGAAACGTAAGGCAGATGCAAGGAGAATTTGTTCACTGTGTTAAAGGTTAGTAAAAACAGTGGGTAACAAATGTGGTGTTCTGATGCTCCGTATCTCTGAAGGCTAATATTTAAGTTGTGCATTTCACAGAGGAATTTTTTAAATGTCTGTTTCAACACCACTGTGTATTCCAAGGAAGGAGAAGGATAAAGAGGCCCTGGGAATCTTTGGAAAACACTTAAATTCTGCCTTCTCAAAGTTCATATCCTCCACTCTCTCTCCCCACCCCAACTGAGATTTGATTATCCGTGCATTGGAGTTTAATAATCCATAGAATTATCAGTTAATTATCTTTTCTTAAAGATGCTTTAAAATTCTACAAATTAACAAAGAATAAGTGCTTGGATTAAGACTACTACATAGAGTAATTAACTAAGTATTAGTCAACAATGTGATGTTTCTTTTGTTTTAATCTCATATATCTTTAAAAAACTCATTTTAGCTGCTGTTGTGTGTAGGAAATTTCTTCGGCTCTACTCAAGATGCTGAGTGGGAGGAGTATAAGACTGGCAAAAAGAAAGGTACAGAAATTATTATTTAATGTGTTCTAACAAAATGTCAGGGGCTGTAGTTGTTGGATTGCTTTTCACATATTAGTTGCCGAAGATTTCTCTCATGTATCGGTGAGCATAGATGCTCTCAGAGAGTTTCTCTCTTGTCCCTGGTGGTATATGCCTGTGGTGCTAATACCTGAAAGACTAAGGTAGGAGTATCGTAAATTCATAGCCAGCCAGTTTGGGCTACATGGCTAGAGTGTTTAACAAAACAGAATAATGAAGAGTGGTATGTCCCTCTTGAGCTCTGCATTGGGCTGAAAAGAATGCATATGTATAATCCATTTTCTTCACATTTTGAATTTTGTTCAGTTTCATTCTAACCCAAAAGAATGCTCATTTAGACTGCCAACAATGGACTGTGCAGCAAGCCTGCCCTTTCATTGTTTTCAGTTTGTTTGTTTGTTTTTTTTTTAAGCTTTTATTTATTATGTATACAGTCTTCTGTCTGCATGCCAGCAGAGGGCACCATATCTCATTCAAGGTGGTTGTGAGCCACCATATGGTTGCCAGGAATTGAACTCAGGACCTCTGGAAGAGCAGTCAGTGCTGTCAGTGCTCTTAACCTCTGAGCCATCTCTCCAGCCCTCATTGTTTTCAGTTTAGTGCTTTTTTATCAAATGCTTTTAAAAAATATTTTATTTTCTTTATTTCCTAGCTCACTTTGTAGAAAAAAATTTATTTTTGTGTGCATTGATGTTTTGTCTATGTATGTGTCTGTGTGAAGGTACCAGATCCTCTGGAACTGGAGTTACAGACAGTTGTGAGCTACCATATGGGTGCTGGGAATTGAACCTATGTCCTCTGGAAGAGCAGATAGTACTCTTAACTGCTGAACCATCTCTACCAGCCCTGTCTTATATATTCATTGACCATCTACTTTTAAGATGGTAATTCATTGGCCTAGATATGGATCATCTTGTAGTCAAGCCACAGGGTTGGATTAGGAACCCTTAGTGGTGAGCCTGTTCTGCATTTAGGATGGCTATGGAAGGAACTCTTAGGCTCTTTACTCTCGCTATGACTATTTTACCTTTGAGGAAGCATTTCTGGAATTTCAGAGCAGATCCAGTAACCACATCGTGTCACACGTTTCCCTCATTAGCTCCTATTCAGACATATGTGCTTGGTGCCAACAACCCGGAGACAGTACAGTATTTCCAGGACACTGATGGGTGTGAATTAGCTGAGAACATCACTTACCTGGGTGAGTTAATATTTGTTGTTTGCAATGAATTTAGTAAAAGATTCCCAGGGATCAGTCTCTCAGGAGTGTGTGTTCACTGGATCCTTCTGCCATTGCTGCTTGAGAAAATAAGGAGTTTGTTTGTTTTTTCCCTCTGGGGAAGACTTTCCCTCCAAGTCTGCATCTGTACCTTTGGACAGTGATGTTTCTTCTTCATTGTTTCTCTCTTCCCCTCAATCTCCTTGTGTTCCTATAGCTCTGTACACACTTTTCAGCCAACCTGAGTGACCAGTGCCTTGCTCACAATTTATAGAGCACTTAAGGCATACGTTATGTTCAAATAAAAGAAATTCCATCTTTGTCGTAGGTCTTGCTGCATACATAGACCTTCCTTACTAATTTGGCCAACTAGCTTTATTCTAGGCTTCAGTCTAAGACTTGGCAACTCAAATTTTTAGTTTTTATCCTTGGGCTTTTTCATTCTTTTTGTCTTTTTTCCTGTTTCCTAATTCTAGGTTAAAACTGTTCAGAGCCCCATGCATTTCTTCAGTGCCATAATAAAAGCAATTGTCAAGTTTTGCTGTTGTTCTCTCCCCACCCTCTGCTGTTAGTTTACTGTCTCCTGGATCGTTCAAGTCATGATATTCTAATTTGGTTCCTTCACATTCCTTTGTGGTCTTGTGTCTCTCGAGAGCTCTGTGTTGCCATGTTAGAAATGCCCTCCTTCACCCTTCCCACCATACTTTGCCATTGCCTTTCATCCTCCATGCAGAGTGGTCCTCACAGAAGCCAATTCCGCTTTCTCCAATCATATGAAACTCCTTTATGCAAATTGTTGAGGGAAACATGTTTTATATGATTTAAAATTTATTATTATATTATTATTTGTGTTACTGGATTTAAACCCTGGGTCTCACACATTTACTAAGTGTGTGATCTGCCACTGAATTGTTGCTATAGTCCCTGTGTTTATGGTTTTTAAATTCTTCATCATTAGTAGGTGTGTGTGTGTGTGTGTGTGTGTGTGTACATGTCCACACATTTGCCACAGTGTGAGTTTGGAGCTCAGAGGGCAACTTTGTGAGTTGGTTCTCTTCTCTCCCCTTATGTGAGTCCTAAGACTGAACTCAAGTTTTTAGACCAAAGCAAACATCTTTCCTTGAGCCACATCACCAGCCCTGCTTTTAAAAAAGGATTTATTGTTATTTTCTGTGTATGGGTGTATTACCTACATATATGTATTCATGTATGTGCATTACATGTGTGCCTGGTGCTCTTGGAGAGAATTACAGACTTTTATGGGTATTAGGAACCACACCCAAATCCTCAGAAAGAGCAGCAAGTGCTCTTAATGGCTGAGCCATCTCTCTCGCCTCTCTGCTTATTGATTTTTAGCTACAGGTGCGAGACAGACATTCTCAAATCCATTTGTTAGAGATACGAACATTGGTCTGACTTGTCACAATCAGTGTGCTTTTTCGATTTGTATTAAGAACACTGTTATATTTGTCAAGCAACTTATGAGGTGAATTCCACTGAGCCATGTCTTTCAACAGGGATCTTGTTGGTGGACCTGTGCCACTGAACTGAAAAGTAAAAGCTGAGAAGAGGGTCAGGCTGTTGAGGAAATAGAGTGAGGGGAAGCAAGGAGATGATAGTATTTGGTGAGAGGCTGTCATGGAGTGGGGGAGCCAGATGCTTGAGGACAGTTGAGTGTACAGACACCAGCTTGGGAGAATCTGAGAGAAGGGTAAGAGGCCACTGGGAGTTTCAGTCAGTGACCAGCAACCGCCACGTAAGAGGTATTCATACTCATGGAACAAGAATAGTGTCAGAACCAGACAGTCTGGATCCCCACAGCCAGGTGGGACTGTAGCTGCGGGAGCTCTACTCCTTCAGGCGTGTAGAAAGGCAGAGAGCCAGGAGATGGAGGCATGGGGAAAGAGAGTAAGCAGCATATTTCCTTGTGCAGTTTTGACTAAAGCTCGTTTCTTTTCTTTGAACCCAGGTCGAAAAGGTTTCTTTACTGGAAGCTCAGGGCTGCAGATTGTCTATCTCAGTGGCACAGAGTCCTTGAGTGAACCAGTCCCGAGTCACAGTTTTAGTCCCAAGGACGTGTCTTCCCTGAGAACAATGCTGTGTTCGGCCTCCCAGTTTAAGGGTGTTGATATCTTGCTCACATCCCCGTGGCCCAAGTATGTGGGGAACTTTGGGAATTCCTCTGTGAGTAGTGCTTGTTCAGCTGAAAATTTTAAAGCAAATTACACTGTTTAAGTTGGGTTTTAACATTTTTCTCTTTATTTTGAATATTTTAACTCTTAGTACCTTTTACTAGAAATGTTTTGTGAAAGCCTTCAAGATTCTGAAAGCTACATCTACTGACAAAAACAGTTGATCTCATAAAATATAATTTAAAAATGAGGTTGCTGAACCTTAGTTATAAATGAGTGGCTCCTGAAAGTATTTCTCTACAAGTGCCCTCCCTTTGCCTATGTCTTTATATATTTTGCAAGTTTATGAATTCTCAGTGGAAAGATTTACAGTTATTGGCATCTCTCCATTTTTTTTTTTTATTTTTTTTTGGGGGGCCATCAAAATATATCTTAAAATTGGGCCATTGTAAGGTTGAATCTAGTAATGGAAGTATCTACAGGTGAGAAAGGCTGCTGAATACTAATTGTCTGTTAGCGGCACTAACATGACATGCATCTAAGCATTCATAAATAGTCTTGAGAAGGGGCCCTACAAGTAAACTATGACAGATAGACATGGCCTAAGGAAGACCCTGAAAAGGTTGTGTAAGGTCAGAAGCCTCAGCTGAGCCTCAGTGGGGGGAAAGATAAGACTGAATTGGAGAATGAGCCCTCCCAATAGACTCAGAACTGCAAGTGATGTTCCAGAATGTACCGTGTGGATCAGTCCTTGCTGACTCAGCACTAAGTGTCCATGACCATAAAAGTCAGCAAGATGCCAGGCACACTCAGGAGGATGTCAGAGGAAGAGCAACCGACGTCTCCATCTGCCATCCCATGGTTACTCCACTTCTAGAAAGGAAGCCCCTTATTCTGGCGACAGCTAAAAGTCAGCTCGGGGCGGCAGGGATGGAAACTTTAGTCAAAGTTTATAAATATGCATATAGGTTTTTTTGTTAGTCTTTTTGTTTGTTTGGTTGGTTTGTTTTTTTCAGACAGGGTTTCTCTGTGTAACAGCTATGATTGTCCTGGAACTTGCTCTGTAGACCAAGCTAGCCTTGAACTCTCAGAGATCTGCCTACCTCTGCCTCCTTAGTGTTGGGGTTGAAGATTTTTAACAAAGGTGTGGTTGTACCACTTCCTTGGCTGAAACGAAAGAAAGGCTTGTGTGCTTATGAGTCCCTTGGATGTTTGCTGGATGCCCGCAGCTCTGAATGTTAATATTTAGGTTCCTTTTCTGCACTGACCATGCCTCTGTCAGATACATAGGTGCACTGTGAAGCTATTTATGGAGACATAATTTATAAGTTGTAGGAAGAGCCCTGTCTTCAAAAGAGCTCTTCATGTGTGCTTTAGAGGTTATTATGGAGGCGTTGTCTTATCTTGTACCTGCTCGTTTCCAACAATTGTGCTGTTCCTCTAATTGTAATAGTCCAATACTTTTATGTGTTTGATTGCCCTACAATCTTGCAGTTCACTACAAGTCCTATTTGAAAGATATTTCGAAACACTTTCTTGTTTCTTTGCATTTCTTCATAATTTCTGAGTCTGTGGATAACCAAGTTCCCATTTACTAGGGAGAAGTGGATACCAAAAAATGTGGCTCAGCCTTGATCTCCAGTCTTGCCGCAAGTTTGAAACCAAGGTATCATTTTGCTGCTTTGGAGAAGTCGTATTACGAGAGACTCCCATACCGGTGAGTAACATCTCAGGGCTCTTCTCTGGAAACTTGCCATCATCTTGTTCACTTTTAGCCATATATCTTGGTTCCTTCTAATGCTAAGGGACCAAAACAAGTGAGTGACTGTTTCAGGTTTCTTTTTGTTGCTCTGCTCTGGTAACTAACATATTATGGCCAAAAGCAATGTAAGGAAGAAAGGGTTTATTTTCCCGCTTCTAATTCCAGGAGGATTCACCATGGAGGGGAAGGCATAGCATGGCAGCAGGAGCAGGAAGCTGGCTGGTCACATGTTATCTATACATAGGAAGCAGAGAAAGAAAGACCAGAAAGTGGGCTAAGACTCTAAACCTTTAAAGCCCCTGACAGACTTCTTCCAACAAGGCTCCACCTCCCCAGGTTTCCCCAACAGCACCACCAAATGTTCAAAAAGCACATGAGCCTCTGGAGGACATTTCCCATCGAGACGCCACACTCCTGAGTCACTGATTTTCTCTGAATTTGTTTCCTAACTTGAAGTAGAAGGGGTTAGACTGACTAGAAGACTCCTTAAAAATTCAGGGTCTACCATTACAATGCTGGGTGGTCATCGTGGATCATTAGGTCCTGTGTTGTTGTCTTGCCCTGGCTGTCCTAGAACTTACTATGTAGACCAGGCTCTGCACTGGTAGACCAGATTGCACTCACAGCGATCTATCTGCCTCTGCCTCCCAAGTGCTGGAATTAAAGGCGTGAGCCACCACCGCCTCGCTCACACTTTAAATCTAGGTTTTAGAGAAAATGTGTAGTATTTGTCTTTTTGAGTAGTTTGTTTCTCCTAATGATTTCTAGTTCAGTCCATTTTCCTGCACATGTCTTGCTTTTGTTTTTATTTGTGGTTGGGAATTCCACTGTGTATGTGTACCATTTTTAAAATCCATTCATGTGGTACACAGTTAGGTAGTTCCTTTCTTCCAAGTGCAGAGTATAGAAGTAGCCTGGATGTACACATTGTTTGAGTAGAAGCCTCGTGGTACATCAGGGTCACAGGGTGGCTGTGACTGTGGTGTATGAGAGGTCCCCTAGTGCTGTAGCAGCCGCATTTAAGGACTCTGCTGTCCCCACCCTCACCACCATCTATAGTGCTGAATGAAAGAAGAAGGAGGGACTGTTTGAGGGAAGGAAGAGAACCAGGGCAGGTGGCAAGGGGAGGGGCATGAATTAAAGCAAGGTATCAAGCTTCCCATATGAAAATCCATGATGAAACCCATTACTCTGTATAATAAAGTAAAGTGACTGAGATCTGTTATCTTTCAATTATATTTTAGAAACCATGTTGTTCTACAAGAAAGTACACAGCATGCTACCCGCTTCATAGCACTAGCGAATGTTGGGAATGCAGAAAAGAAAAAGGTAATGATTTGAGTGTTTGGTTACTCTTCATTGTCTGCTTGGGAAATGGTTTTCCTCTAGGTTGGCATTCAGACCTTCTGGCCTCCAACTGGAAGTTCCCAGCAGCTTCAGGGACCCCTTTCTAAAGGCGGGTTTCCTTGAGTGCTTTTTGTAGGAGCCTTAAAGAAAGGCTCAGTGAGATGAGACAAAGGAAGAAATGGTGTCCTTCCGCCCGCATCATGTGGTTGCCGCTGGTTTCACATGGTTTGCCCTCAGGTGAAATGCTTACTTGCTTCCAGCAGCGTCATTGATCGGAAATAATAAAATCCTCTCAGGAATATTCTTAAAGCTTGGTGCAGTGGCACATGCTTAAATCCCAGCACTCAGGAGGCAGTGCCATACAGATCGCTGTGAGTTTGAGGCCAGCCTGGTCTATGTAGTGAGTTCCAGGACAGCTAAGACCCTGTCTCAAAAACAACAGTAGTAGCAAACATAATGAAACATGTATGTATGTTAATTGAGCGTTCCTTAGCTTTTTGAATTATTAGTTATACTGGAACCTAGAAAATAGTGCAGATGGTGAAAGAAAATGAATCAGCAAAGTAGTTTGTATGTTTTGCTAGTGCTAAAAACTAGATTGTTGATTTATATAGCTAATATCAAAATAAGCAGTTCAGTGAGAGAGTAGAGTAACCGTCCTCTCTAAGCTGATTGTTTTCTATAGCATGTTATGGACAGTGTTAAAAAGAAAAGGCGCTTGTTCTCTGTTTTAAGCTTTGAAACCTATTCTTGGCAGGTCTAAACTGTCACGTTTTAAGCTGACCATTCAGACTGAGCAGTGCTTTGTGATTTTAGCCTCTTACTCAGTCTCAGAGATGTGCATTGCAGCTCATGTCTTAATCAAAAGTGCACAGTTTTAACTTGACAAACCCCATTTATCTCAAAATTATGTTCCAATGTATATCCTTTTTAAAAAAGATTTATTTATTATGTATACATGCCTGCATGTATGCCTATATGACAGAGGAGGTCACCAGATCTCATTCTAGATGGTTGTGGGCTACCATGTGGTTGCTGGGAATTGAACTCAGGTCCTCTGGAAGAGCAGCCAGTGCTCTTAACCTCTGAGCCATCTCTCCAGCGCCTCCTACATGTATATCCTTAACAGCTGTGCATGTTATTCTTTTCTGCTTCTCTGTACTTTGACTGGATAGTGTCAGTTTTTCCTAGTACAGTTAAATGGAAGATAGTGTATCCTTTGAACTTCAAATTTCATTTCTATATTGTGTTGAGGTAAAGATATATTTATGCCTAAAGTTGTCTACCTTATGCCATTAGCCCGTATATGAATTGTTTCCTTGTTTGCTGCTAGTTCCCAAGGAAATGAATCAGCACATGTAAGAATTGTGTATTGTCAGAGTGGGAAAGCTTACCTAGTCCAGTTGGAGTGTTCATTAAAAAGACGGAAAGAGGTGCCACGATTCTGTTGACAAAGTCCCCAGAAACAGAAGATGCAGTGACAGCAGCCGAAATGCCCTCCAGGCTTACAGAACAAGTCCCCTGAGCCTTGTAGGGAGGGTTGTCACTGTTCCCTTATCCAAGTGAAGGACCTAGTCTGTCTAAGGTCCGGGACTTTGATTTGGTGCTCATTACTGTGCAGGCCCTCGTTAGCCATTGCAGAGGCCACTGGAATAGCATTTGCTCCACTGCAGCGCATTCTCGGAGCCACAAGCATGCTTGTGATTTTACTTATGTCGGAGACTTTCTGTGAAATTGTCATCATAACCTGGGTTGAATATACTGAGACAACAGTATTTTCCCTAATGTTATGTTCTTTTGTTCTGGAGTATCTTTATGCATTCAGTATTGTTCCCATGAAGCTAATGGCTGCAGCAGAACTGGTAAAACAGCCTCCGGATGTCACCGAGAATCCTTACCGAGAGTCTGGAAAGGCAGCAGCTATAGGAAAACATGTTCCTGCCCCTCAGGTGAATTCTGATTGTGGGCTGGGATTCAGGGCCAGGTTGTCCTCTGTAGGTATGCTTTTTCTGGTCATAGTTTCATACATTAAGCAAGTTCAGATTCAGATTCAATGTTTTTCTTCTTGGCAAATCATGATAATATTTAGAAGATTCTAAAAGATTGTAATTGAGTTCACTTTTTAAATTTTTTCTTGAGGTTAGCAGTTCAACGTTGAGTATTTGCCTAAGTCAATTCATACAGTTTCTCCTTGTCTGAAATGGATTATTCTCGGTTTTTCAGGCAAGAGCCCATTGGTAGCAGACATTTATGATTTTTAGTAGAGAAATTTACTTTGAAGAAGTTTCTTAGTAGCAGACTTTTGGAAATGAACTTTTCTCCACTAAAGCAAGGACCGTCATGTTTTCATGTTGGGGGCGTGGTCTGCTTTCTTGGACCTTTCTGTCCACTGAGAAGCACTCTTCTGCCTCCTCCTTTTACCTTTGCTCCAAATGGCTCTTTGACCCACTTATCTCTTTAGTTGAAGTTGGACCAGACTTGTTTCATCCTGAAATTTTAGGGCCACTCCATGTCATTATTGGGAGAGGGGAGACAATGTAACTGGGTTCATACTGCTCCGGCTCGGGGAAGAATTGCGCTATACGTTATCTTTCAGAAGAGGTAAATGTGGTGGTGGTTGGATAGGTGTGCTGAGGTCCAGGACTGGGAATCCAGAAGATACTTCTCTTCCCTAGAATAGGCCGGGCAGGGCAGGGCTGAGAGGAAACATAGATATGAGTGACAGGAACGTTCCCTTTTGTTTGGTGGTTGGTTACTGTGTAAAGGCTAGCTGAATAGCATATTCCTCCCCACTTGGGCCATTCCAGGAAGAACCAGCCTGTCAATTCTTCTTCGATCTGAATGAAAAGCAGGGAAGGAAACGGTCATCTACGGGCAGGGATAGCAAGTCTCCTCAGGCCAAGCAGCCACGCAGGCCTCGTAAGTACCTTGGTCACCTTTGGAAGCATTAACCTTGTGGTGGGGGTGGGGGTGTGTGGCATCGTTTGTAAAGTAGCATTGCTAAGAGCATCTGCCAGCAAAGAAAAATTGTGTGGAGAGCAAAGTAAAAATAGAATAGTATAAAAATGCCTGACTATGAGGCTGCTTGAGACTCTTCCTATAAGAGAATAGAAGATGCTCCTTTTGTCTCTGTCAAACATGGTTAGAGTGTATACAACCGATGTGAGTCATGAAATAATAAAATAGTCAACTGAGAGGAAGGACTTCCAGACCAGCTTTCATTGAGATTCTCTTTTCTTCACCGTTATTTTAAAGAGGTGAGTGTGACCTTAGGAAGGTCCTATGGTTATGTGGCTAGCTGATGTCATAGCTGGGACTAGAACTGGGGTGCCTGACAAACCCCCACCCAGGTCAGTGTTCTCTCATTGTAGCCCCTTGCCAGTTGCATGCTGCTTTACTCGATATGTGATGATCTATTTGTGGATTGATTATCAATTTCAATAGTGGTTTAGTTTCATTGAAAATGGTGCCAGGCATTGGGCACTCATAGTGAGAAACACAAGTCCAGCCCCCTGGGGCAGTGCTTTGCAGTCTTTGCAGTATGTATAGATCAGACAACAATGAACTCTCTATTTCAAATTTTGAGTTGTTGTTGTTGTTGTTGGTATGTGCGAGTGTGCATACATGCTTGCTGTAGTGTGCACGTGCGAGTGAGAGGATAACTCTGGGTTGAGTTCTCTCCTTCCACTGAGGGTTTGGGTATGGAGCTCAAGTTGTCAGACTTGTGTGGCAAGCACTTCTACTTGCTAAGCCATCTCACCAGCCACAAGGATAAATTCTGTAGGGTGATTATGTCTGTTTCTTTCATATGAAGCTCAGCCTCCAGGACCTTGTTGGTTTTGCCTTGCCAGCCCTGAAGTGGAAAAGCATTTGGTGGTCAACATTGGCACACATGTAAGTTACTTCATTGATAGGTAGCAGAGAAGAAAATGCCTATTACTTGTTTTACTAACTGCATGGTATATGATCTGCTTATCAAATTCCCCCCTTCTTCCTTTCTTTCTTTTTCCTTCCCTCTCCTCCCTGCCTCCCTCCCCTCCCCTAGAGTCTCTACATAGCTCTGGCTGTCCTGGAATTCACTGTGTAGAATAGGCTGACCTCAAACTCACAGAGATCTTCCTGCCTCTGTCTCCCAAGCGCAGGGATTAAAGGTGTGTGTCACCACTGCCTGGCCTTTGTGGCTAACTAGTGTGGCTAGCTCTGCACTCTGATCCTCAGGCAAGCTTTATTTGTTAGATCATAAACAAAATATCACCACATTTGCCCATTTTAAGTGTATAATTCCTTGATATTTTAGTAAGCTTATTAAATTATGTAACCGTCATATAATAGAGGTTTAGATGCGAGGTGTGATGATGTACACCTTTAATTCCAGCACTTAAGAGGCAGAGGTAGGTAGATCTCTTGAATTCAAGGCCAGTCCGCTCTAGTTCATAGCAAGTTCCAGGACAGCCAGGGCCACACAGAGAGACCCTGTCTCAAAGAAAGGATATATAAAATAAAGGTTTAGAACATTTCCATCAATTCAGTAAAATTTCTTAGACATATTTACAGTAATCTTAGTTTCAATCCTCAGCCTTGGCCACCACTTGCATACTTTGTGTCTTTTTAGGTTTGTGGGGTTTAGACATTTCATTTAGTTGAAATCATAAAATAGAAGCTTTTTCTGTCTGGCTTTTTTGACTAGCATCATATTCTTAAGGGTCATTCATATTGTAGCTCATGTATAAATGTTTTATTCCTTTTTATTGACAATTAGTGTTATACAGCCAAACTGTTTTCTATTCACTTATCGCTTGATACCATTTTATTACTCTCAGGGATAATGTAATATTTGCATGTGTTTGTGAATGGAAAACATGAATCATATGTTTATTTTGGCAAATGTGTGTTTAAACTTAAAAGATTTTTGTTTTGTTTTGTTTTTCAAGTCAAGGTTTGTCTGTGTAGCTCTGGCTGTCCTGGAACTCACTCTGTAGACCAGGCAGGCCTTGAACTCAGAGATCTGCCTGCCTCTGTTCCTGCCTCCCAAGTACTGGGATTAAAGGTGTGCACCACCACCCAGCAGATATTTTGTTTTTAATCATGTGTGTGTTTGTTGGTATATGTTCTTGTGAGTGCGCTGCCTGAGGAGGAAGCTGTGAGTCACCTGACATGAGTGTTAGGAATTAGGAACTGAGCTTTGGTCTTTCTACAAGAGCAGTGTGTGTTCTCAACTGCCAAGCTCTCTCCAGCTCTCTTTTAACCTTTGAAGAAACTGTCAAACTGATTTCCACAATGACATTATTTTATGCTCCCAGCAGCAACATTCTGACAGTTTTGGTTTTTCCATATCCTTATTAATACTGCTTAAAGTCTTGCTTCTCCTTTCTTGATAGTGTTGGAGACTGAACCAGGGTCTTGTGCATATTGGGCAAGAACTCTGCTATTGAGAGACATCTTTAGCCCGTTCTCTGCCATTTTGATTATGGATGTTAGTTTTTGTCACTAGAAGTCCAATGCACTGTCCTTTGCACCACAGAGCCACATGGATGTTAGTTTTATAGGATCAGTTTCACAAGCACTCATTGCCTGTCTCCCTCTATAGGATGACTCTTCTGTATATTTCCTAGATTCATCTATGCTTCTTGGAGTATTGGTTTTCTTAATTTCTCACTGTTTTAAATATATCTGTTTTCCCTGTTTTAAATAGTAGAAAAGGGAGTCATGTCTGACTTATATACACATACTAGATATAAAATGTTGATATTTTAGTCCAGTGTTGTAGCTCATACCTGTAATCCCAGCACTCAGGCTGAGGCAAAAGGATTGTCACAACTTCAAGATCAGCCTGGACTACATAGTCAGTTCTAGGCTAGGCTGGACTTCAGAGTGAGGCTTTGTCTAAAAAATACAACAAAACCACTAGGAACTGAAGTTCATTAAGCAAGTTCATTTTAAAAAGACTAAAGTGATTAATTTAGTTTGGCAGTCAAGGATTTTATTAGTCAGGGTTCTCTAGAGTAACAGGACTTATAGAATGAATCTCTCTATATGTCTATATCTATACATAACGTGTGTGTGTGTGTGTGTGTGTGTGTGTGTGTGTGTGTGTGTGTGTGTGTGTGTATTTATTAGAATGACTTATAGGCTGTTGTTCAGCTAATCTAACAATGGCTGACTATGAATGCAAAGTCCAAGAATCCAGTAGTTGCTTAGTATATAAGGCTGGGTGTCACAGCTGGTCTTCAGTGTACACTGGAATCCTGAAGCAATAGACTCTAATGCCAGTAAAGGTATTTCTTGCTACCACGAGGAGAGGAAGCAGGCAAAAAGTGAAAGCTTCCTTCTTCTGTGTTCTTTACAGGCTTCCAGCAGAAGGTGTGACCAGATTAGAGATGGGTTTTGCGAGCTCTAAAGATCTAGATTAAAGATCTGGTTTATAGCCGTGTCCTCCCAGCTCAAAGACCCCCATTATAAGCGTACCTTCCCACTTTAAATTAAGCAGAAACCCCTCACTGGTGTGCCCTCCATATTTGGGTTTAGTTAATTTCAGATGTAGTTAAGTTGACAATCAAGCCATCACAGGTAACTATGTACCATGCCTGATGTTTCTAGGATAATGATTTTAGTGACATGATTGCAGCACATTGAATCATCTATGGAGCTGATGACCCTGAGTGTGATGACTCGGCTAGACAAATCCCCATTGAACATCTTATGTCTCAGGGAATTCATTCAGGGTCACATTTCTCAGATACTTTTCCTCAGGGGGCTCAATTAGACATTACATATTCAGGCTCTGTAATGATAATTGTCTTTTTCTTTTACTTACTGCAAAGCCTGCTTCATCACCAGAGTTATAGTTGCCCTCCAGCCCCCTCTGAGGGTTTGGGGAGGGTGTTGTTTTGGTTATTAGTAATGAGACCCTCTGTTACTTAGCTGGCCTCAAGTTTGGGACCCTCCTGCTTTAGCCTCCTGACTAGGTAGAACTCCAAGTGTGTATCACCACACCTGCTCCTTGAGGTGTTTGTCAGTGAACTTAGGTCATGTGGGAAATCAGCTGTGGGTGTGCTTAGTTCTCTGTTGATTAAATGAAGGATGAGCGTGCTTTGGTTTACAACTGGTTTATTTTTAAGTTCCTATGTATTTGCGCCTGTTGATAGTCCCTATGTATTTGCGCGTGTTGATAGTCCCTATGTATTT